AGAATTTATTGCACGCTAACTTTTGGTTACTTTCTGTGGGAAATATTATATTGCTATGCAATAAAAGTAATTATTCTAACATACACATCTTGTTTATTTTTCATCATGAATGACCATGGAAGTTACACATTGTATATAAATATAAATAGTATTATTTTGTAACTGAGCTTTTTGGAAAAGTTTTGTAGAAAATGAGGTGTTGGTCATTTACACCAATAAAAAAAACAAAACCGTTATTTACGTTCTTATTAAGATATAACACGCTAATACGCTTCAATAAATGAAAGCACACCAATTGGTTTAATAAATCTAATTTTCAGTTCTTAATAAAAAAAAACAAAAAAACTAAGAAGACGTTGAAAGATTGTCATGAGATATCTATCTACCATAGACCAATTTGTAATATACAAAGATGTAAGCAATTACAGGTCTTCAAACATGAGAAAAACCTATGAAGTCGGAATTGGCCAAGCATAGCTTTCACGATCAAACCAATGTGTTGCGTGATCTTCCAGGATAAATTTTGATTAACAATTGAATTTTCTTTGCATGGATAATGTGTCGCCTTTTGTGTTTTCCTAAATAGTACTGCAATTATCTTTACCATAGTACACAGAATCATTAAGGAACAATAATCATTTTGACAGAGATATTTCTTTTTTTTCTTATTTTGTCCGCCTTTTCGTTATATATATATATATAATGGATTTTTTCACATATTTTGATGTTGAACAGTATTCACGATCCGATACCAGATTTTACACCACCCGATCCCAATACTTGACCACCGTCACTTATTCTTTCACAAGCCCTTCTCGCGATATACCAAATGACATTCGTGCACTAGCTCAGTCAATTAAATGAGAAGTTGAAATATGATAAATGGACAAACGAATAATTGATTGATTGCTTATTTTTAGACGTTTAGTAGAGACTCTGGGGGATTCGTTACCTACGTTATATCTGCCACAGTGCAATTTGCGCAAATCCTTTTTACAGCGGATGACCGTGAGGGCATTCCGGTGAAATGTTGCCGCAGACATTTCTTAACCCACGAGACTTGCGTTTTTGACTGATAACCGAACGTATTTCGTATAATTACGCGGATATTATCGAGTGCAAAATAACATTCCGTATCGCTTGTTATATATTAATTTCATCAATAAATATTCATGAAAATAATTTTTAAGAACATAGATAAATGATATGAAAATGTTTTGTCGTGAGAAATATATATATCAATAACAAATCAAGAATACCGAAAATCTGTGTTAACGCATGCGGAAGAATATCTCAAGAACGTTTTGTAACAAACGCGGGAAAATATGAATGCCTACTCAAATCCAATCTATTAGAAAAACGAATTATTACAGAAGAGTGTCCACCATGCACTTGCACTGCACTATCATTAGAATAGTAGAATAGAATGATATACAAATGGATAAAAATTATATATAACTGTTATACAAATATTAATATAATATATAACAACAAACCAGAGTATACTGATAACAAATGATTATATCACTACAATATAATAGTTATAATGGTGAGGTTGAATTTCTTGTCATTTAATCATCATCCACACAGGAACTTGTCTCCGAAAAAAATATATCTATGTTCCTTAACCTAACTTTCAGGTATAGAGATGTGATTTTTTTTCTGAGACAAGTGCTTGTGACCATCCACCAGAACTTGCGGTCATCCGATGTTCAGTACTTCAGTACTTTGATTGTATCTGTATCTGAATGGGTACGTCGTAGAATCCTAAGTGGGCTTTATCACAACGGGGACGGAGGACGTATATTAGTCCCGAGTGCGGCTATATAGTGCCGCTTTGAAGCCTTTGGTTGACTTTGCTGTCACTATGCTGTCTTCAAGGTTGTTTTAGTCAACAGCAGTTCCGATGAAGAATGAGTTTTTTGATTGGTCGGTTAATGAATACTGGATCTTAACTGTGTTTTTGTATTTTTGTGGGATTGTCTTTCCACAATATTCGATGAAATATAGTCTTGAAATTGTTTTGGTCTTCCTTGATTTAGGATTATGTGACCAGAGGGCGGCATAGCTGTTAGCTGACCATCAACCACCCTCTAAAAAATATTAACCGCTGTTGTTTTCGTCTGTCTTCTAGTCGTGATAGAGTCCTAGATCTTGCATCATTTTTGTAATGCATCCATCAACTCTTTATTTGTTATCTTTTTTGATAAAATACACGGCCCTTCTTTGTATCCTTTCTAGTTGGTCTATCTCTGTTCTTCTATATGGGATATTTATGCGTTGTTCCTTCATTCTTTTGGGCAATGTTGTAAGTTACGTCTGAGGATCCCCAGGGTAGAACTTGCTTTTTTGCTGGTGTTAGCTATATATGTTCTCCATTTTAGGTTGTCTGATATTTGGGGTCCGAGGTATGGGTTGGTGTTTACCTCTTCTAGTATATGTCTACAAAGTTGGTATAATTTACTTGATGATTTGTTCATGGACATAATCACTGTGTCTTAAGTACCGCGGCAAAAAATATTTCTTCTCAATATTATCTTATATACGATACGGTAACTGACCACATACAGACAGAGAAACTGTAGGATTTCCTTATATCTATTTGTTATATGTATGAATTTGTAGAATATAGATACACACACTACTATTTTCGATTCAGAGATGTAATACTTTCTATCACCGTGCCAGATTAAAAGAGAAAGAAAAAAATACATCAAAATGATGACCAGATTAAATCTTAACTCGAATTTGTTTAATTTCTTATTAAATTGTGCATATTGTAAGGAAAGAAACGTACTGAAAGAAAGATCTATACATGTAGATTGCAGAATTGACCACGTTGAGCACTTCAATAGTTGTATTTCTATGCATGGAACGAAGGAAATGAGTCATGTTAAAACGGAAGGACCCGGTTTGTCAATGTTGTTTACAATATAAGGACCCGGTTTTGTCCTTAAAAAGGACACGAATTTGTTTCGTTTTGAAACCACTTTTTTTTAAAGCAGCACGGATCTGCACAGTTTCCGCAGAAAGAAATTTAATATACTAGTATATGATAGTGTTGTTATGATATTGTAATTGTGATATTTATTTATCTTGGCCAAATTTGTTTTGTGTAGCCTTATACTTGTTTACAAAATAATGTTATAACTGTGCAATTTAGAAATCACTGGAACAATCATAAATACTGATGGAATGATTAGAACTTTCTATTTGACTTGCATAATAATTCTGGAATGATCATAATCTACGATGTGTAATTTCAACTTCTACAATATTCAAGAAGTATCCGTTCTAAAGTTTTCTAGGACTTTCCTTTCTACAGTGTTCTAGAAGTTTCCGTGACAACTATATATATATACAGACACCAAAGTTAGACTTTCAGACAGACATTAATATACTTGTATTCTCAGAAGATCTCTGGTTGTTGGATTGACACTTTTATTTACGTCAAATACATCATACTAGATTGTGAACTTATTGGACATATTCCGTTACAGTTAAGAGAAGAATTCCGGGTAAAGAAAAGACAAAGGATCGAACATATATTTTAACAGTTAAGTTGACATTTCAATTTGTATAATACTTCTTGTAAAATTGTATAATAAATCTTGTTAAATTTTTTTATTGATTTGTGTCTTTTGTTGGCTACAATTTAAAGGTGATTTCTGGCCGTAACAGCGTGTTTAAATATATTTTTTGGTAAACTTTTCGAAATAGGAAGTAAAACACATTTTGCGTTATTAGAATGTTATAGGAATACCTTATTGGACTTATCTACGAACAAAGTTGTAGTTAAATACAAATACTTCATAGTACTTACAACTACAATTTTTATAATATTATGAAAACTCTTTGGGGGGAGAGTGGAAATTTAGTCCAAAAGTTAACTTGGGTACAAGATTACGATTCTCAAAGAATGTATTTACCACATTTTTAAACATTTATAACACCGGCCAAAATATATTACAAGAAAGGAGAGAGCAGATAAATATTTTCATCAGCTCATACGCATGTGCTGTTACAGCTTTAAACAACACCATCGTCACAATGACCAATGAACCATGAAAATAAGGTCGATGTCAAATGGACCCTGCCAGAAAGACATGTGCACCATACACCAAATATAGTTGACCTATCATTTGAAGTATTCGAGATAAGGTAACGAACTTGACCACGAAAAGCTAACCGTGATACTGACCCATAAAATGAGGTCATGGTAAGGCGAACCTATCTGATGCACAAGTAGAACTTGCAAGGACCCCATTTAACAAATATATTAATCCTATCAATCATAACAATCATTTATGATATGGGCGCAAGGCCCGGATCCTTTGGGCATGGAATCTGGTCTTCAGAGGTTCAAATCCGGGCTCAAGATACGTGCATGGGACCTGTGCCTCAAAAGGAACGTTCGAACCCGTGCTATCACCATAAAACAGTTCGTTCAAATATATTTTCATAATACAATTATACAACATTTTTTTTAAATTCAGAAACAATTCAAGAACAAAACTGCTGTATAGCCTTTTGATTGGTTTCAATTTGCAGTGTCTCGAAATTGTTTTGCGTTTTCTCCACGTTTTTAAGTGGGTCCATTTTTGAAGTAGATCTAATTAATATTGAAAAAAACTGCAATATTTTAATTCTCTCGTATTCCATTTATTCTGGTTTGCTAGATGGTAAGCGGGGATTTTCAAAATGGATGTTCAGGCCTGGTATGAAATGGATGAAAATGAATATTCTTCCCCAAAATATGCCCCACCCCGTTAAATCAAATGGTCATCCCCTAATCTTAATCACGTTTTTTCCGCATGTAGTTTAAGAAAAAACGTGTATTAAATTGAACATATAGTTTTGATATGCAGTGTTTTATTTTGTCGAAAGAGAAAATTAAGGCATTCGATCACTTCTTCATACGGTTGGTTTAAATAATAATACAGATTTATTTGTTTTTAGTTGTGGAGAATTATGTCCCCTGACGTAATATTATCGATCTACCTTTTTCTACGAAATGTCTTGTTTAGGTTGATTGAGGTATGTATGTTATCTCCATGAATCTTCGTGTTATACATCACACACACACACACACACATAGTTATCAATAGGTTATTATTTTAACTTTTATTTCTTTTTATCAACTTTCGTTAATGCATTATGTATCAAATATGTTTAAACATGCTAAATGTGTAATATTACTATATTTATCAATGCTTTTCTAACATGATTTACGTTCTCTTCTGAATATATGTTTCTTCGATTGGCAGATGTTGTTAACATTTATTTACTATATCACATTTTAGCACACATAATTATGAACAAAATATAACGTTTCATATTCAATGTACTAGAAGAGCTGACTTATAAAATGGTTGATAGATGTTCTTGCGAACTATATTTATCCCCGGCTTAGTATATTTCTAGGATTTTGATTGGTTAACGCACGTCGTTACAAAACCCATAGCCCCTGGGTGTTGTTAACCCATATACCCGGACGTTGCTATCCATTACCCCGGTAGACGTCACGCGCGTTTTCCTTAGTTCCATGGTTGTTCCTTGTGAAATATAGAATTCTGTAGAAAATCCATGATGTCTGTAATTAAATATTTAATCAACTAACGATTTTATCTTATTATGTCGATCATTTGCACTCATTTTAGTAAACGCATCACTTGGCTGCCACATTGTCAATGAATGGAACTACTGACCTAGCTATGCAAATGACCCACGTTGACGTCACATCGTCTATGATGTAACTATCACAACATTGAGCGCCAAGTTCGACCCATTCCAGTTTCTCTGTCTCCGGATTAAAAACGTCTTATATTTGACTACCTGTAAGGTTCTACCAAAGGTACCCTACACCCCGTAAAAAATACGTCGAATTCCCAAATTTCAATATAAGATTTTTATAAAATGAAAAACACGTTGCTTTCACGTTACACTTTGTGGTCGAATTTCTCTAAAAATGGCCAGATTTGGACTAAGACCGGGGATAAATTCGTTATCTACGTTCATATCCGTAGATATGGATATGAACGTAGATAACTTATAATCCATATAATTTAATTTTGGATGTAACGCGTCTTCTGATTGGCTGACGTTATTTTGTTTATCAGCTGATAGACATAATTTTGTCATGTGACCGTGACGCCATCAACGTTTTTTCATGATTTACTCCGGTTTAAAATGGATTTTAAACCGGCTATAATGGTATACGTTTATAAATTTTGACTTGGATGGAGAGTTGTCTCATTGGCACTCATACCACAGCTTCTTATATCTATTTAGAATTAAATTATAAGGAATGACTGTAATATTTTTTCTGTCTATTCGAAATAACATAAAAAATGTTGTGCACACTTTAAAATAGCTCGCCAGTACGCGGGTTATTCAGTGTGCACCACATTTTTGATGTTATTTCTTCATAGACAGAAAAAACTATTACAGTCATTTCTTAAATAAAGATATGTTCTTGCGAACTACATATCTATATAAAACTAAACATGTAAAATACAAAATCCGTGTACAATTGTACATGTTGTTTCTGCAATTATACATTTCACCAATGCCATTCACGATAATCATCAATATGTCAAATTTTTCACACATTTTTTCTCTCATAATGCATTTCCGACAAATTTGTATTGACAGATTATGTGTTGAAACATGAATTGGTCATTTCTATGCGGTTAAACCCAGCATATTCATACTCGTCCTCAATAAAATTTCAATTAAGAATTTTATGAAAAAAATGTGAAGACTATGTTCTGTATCAAGTAGAACTTGTAGCCTGAATAGGCTTTATGTATCAACTTTTCACATTAATTTATTAGATTTTTTTTTATACTTGGCATTTTTACTGTTTTTTTTCCCAACATGCAGGCTTTTCAGTATTTTTCCCTTTATGTTATCCATACATGTAACACCTGTGTCCAACTTGAACTTTTATCAGATATTTTCTTATTCTGATATTTATACAAAGACATCGGCGTATAGACAAAAGAACAATTCTAAATCGTGGTATATTTGGTATATTACAGTATCACACTTGCCATCAATAAGTGAGGTTAAGTCATCTACATAAAGAGAAAATAAAGAAGGGCTTTAAATACAGCCTTGCTTTACCCCGACCATCGTTGGGAAGATTTCAGAAATACAATCAATAATTCTAACTGCATATAAAACTCTTTATTACAAAATTTTTCGGAATTTTCTGTTTTTAATGCTCTTCGTATTATATTTGGCGTTGCAACTGATCTGATTCGAGCGCCACTGATGAAGGTTTATGTAAACGAAGCGCTCGTCAGGTGTAACACATTGTAAGCTTGGTATCTTTGAAATTTTGTTCTAATACATATCGTCAAAATTTCAAAAAGGCCCTATTATGTTATGTGTAAAAAGTTTGTAGAAAAAGGTCTCCCTGTTGATAGTGCCACAAACTTTTCTAGTTTTTGTTGTTAAAATCAATCGCTAATTCTACATCCTTATTTGAATCCTATCTCTTTTTGGGACATATCCGTTGTCATTCCATAACGGTCAACCAATTCGTAATGGCTTCCGCAAAATTTACAAAGGGATGATTTCAACTTACCACTTATAAAGTGTTATTTTTTATTACACACATATATTACAGGGTCATGGCCAGTAATTGGAGACTTTGTGGTATTTGTGATTATCATCAGATATTTTTTATTACACACATATATTACAGGGTCATGGCTAGTAATTGTAGACTTTGTGGTATTTGTGATTATCATCAGATAATCACATCATCAGTAATCTGGTGTTTCGAATGTGACGAAGGACTATGTGGAGATTGTAAGGAATATCACAGTATTTCCGAGGAAACTAAAGACCACGAAATCGCTCCCATCGCCGATTACTATAAGTTACAGACCGATGTTCTACAAGACGCACAGGTCTGCAAAATACATGATGAGAGATACGAGCTTTTCTGTATAAAACACGATTGTCTATGCTGTAAGAAATGTGTTCAAATTCACACCGATTGTAAAGATTTAACCGACATCAATGAAATCATAAAAAACGTCAAAACTTCAAATGCATTTTATGAAATCGAACAAACCTTACTGGAAGTTGTCGAGAATATCGAACGAATCAGTGGTAACCGAGAAGACAATCTCACATGGCTGAAAAACAAGAAAAGAGAAATTGAAGCAGAAGTAAAACAAACCCGAACAAAGATAAATCATCACCTTGATAAACTTCAGGATGATTTGATGAAAGATTTAATTACAACTGAACAAAATGAAAGCAGCAAAATAAAAAAAGTGTTGACCACTCTAAAAAGGAAGGAAAAGGAGATAGCAAAACACCAAGCCAACTTTGTTCATATAAAACAACATTCATCGGAGCTTAACACCTTTTTGTTCATGAAACAGATCGAAAAAGATATTGCAGTCGAAGAAAAATTTATTGAATCCATTATCAAAAATGATTTTTTGAATCAAACCAAAATTTCATGCGAAATTAACAAGTCTTTACATCAACTTACAGCAAGCATACAGAAATTTGGAGAAATGAACATAAGTTCGGATCCATGCGGTTTGTCAGTTCAGAAACGAAAAAACAGTCAAGCCCAGATTATGGTAGCTCTTCCGACCAGAATTATCGACAACCTGACTGTGACGTTACAGAAACGTATCACTACAGAGGTGTCAAATGTACGAGGTTGTTCTATACTCCCTGATGGTAGGATGGTATTCTCCTCTTTTTCCGAAAAGAAAGTAAGCGTATTGAAATCTGATGGATTAATAGATTTTGAAATAAGTAATATCGGTGGTACGTTTGATGTGGTATTCATCGGTAATGATTGTATTGCTGTAACGTCTAGCAGCTATTCAAATGAGATAAATATAATTGACATAAAGAAAAAAAACTGAGAAAAACAATAACAGTACATTCAAACAATGATGGAGTAGCATACAAAGATGGTAATTTGATTTTTTGTTGTAGGAGAAAAGGACTACAGATGATTAGTCTTAGTGATGAAGCCACTACCAATGTTATCAATCAGGAACTTTCGGGCTTATCGTACGTTACAACATTCGATGACAAACTGTTCTACACAAACTATAACGATGACAGTGTAACCTGTTCTGATTACCATGGTAACATACTGTGGAAGTTCAGTGATATGAGTGTTCTGGATACTCCATACGGTATCTCAGTAGACAATGATGGAAACGTGTTTGTAGTGGGTTATCATACACACAACGTAGTCGTAATCTCTCCAGATGGAAAACACCACAGACAACTTTTATCAAGAGATGATGGATTGAGATACCCATGGGTTCTGCACTATGACCAATCTACGAACAGATTTTTAGTTGCAAATGAATCCAATGTCGCGTTCGTGTATGAAGCTAAATTAGTATAATATTTTCAAAATTAAATTACCTAACAAAACATTGCGTCGTTATCTAGATTACTAACCAGGTCTAAAACAAACCATTGGTATGTTCTGATCTTGAGTTGTTCATCAAATATATTTTGTTTAAATGGAATACTAGTTAGGAGATAATTGTCAAAATACAATACACAGTTATCTCCATTCTAATGCCACGTATCAAAATAAATTCCATTTTAGTAAATAATTTGGCTTGAAAATGCCATAAATGAAAAAGTCCGCAAAACCGTTAAAAAAAAATTACATAACATTGCGTCTTTATTTAGATTACTGACATGGTTTACATATTTTGTTTCAACTAGCATATTGCATATTAGTATGCTTTAGTCTGGTAGAACATGATTTATTTATAAGTTGTTATTGGCTTTGAACTTGCTATCAGTAACTGTGAGTACTTGTTAATCGACACATTGTGTCTTTTGTCTTTTTATCAGTGTTTTTTTGTTGTTGTTTCGTGCCGATCTGATTAATCAAGCAATTTCTAACTGATTTTTACAGTTTGTTCTTATGTTGTCCTGTAGTACTGATGTCCAAAGTTTTAGTGGATGGTTAAAGACTCACAAATGCAAACCTGTTATATTATAAATGTGTGTATCCCAGGTAAGGAGCATGTAATTAAGTGGTTGTCGTCTGTCATATTTGTCTTCGTTTATTGTTTTGTCATAAATCAGGCCGGTGTTTTTTCCCGTTTGAATTGACTCTTTTGTCATGTCGGGGACTTTTATAGCTGACTATACGGTATGGGTCTTGCTCATTGTTGAAGGCCGTACGGTGACCTATAGTTACTTTAATATGCTTCATTCATTTAAACTCAGTTGGATAGTTGTATCATTAAAAATCATACCACATCTCCTTATTTTATATAATATTATACAATTACTGTCTTTTGATGAGGTAAACATGTGGTTTAATTGACTTTTGAAAAAAACTGATATTCACTGAGGCCAACAGCTTCATCAAATCAAAATGGATGCTTTTCGATCACCTATTATAGGTCCGCTTCGAAGTACAACATATCTAAATTTTCCAGTATTAGAATCGAAATAATTCTATCATGCCGTGCTCTATGCTCATTTTAAAATGGGTAGGCATTATATTTTTCAACATTTTACAACTAGCTTACGCTCAGTATAAAGATATTGACAAATATAATGCCTACCCATGTTAAATTGAGCATAGAGCATGGCATGAAGAATCATTTCTTCAATTAACCAGACAAATAACTTAGATTGACAAAAAAAATTTAATATTTGTTTGTTTTGTTTTTTTTTGGATGATTAACAATATGTCTTGCCTCAATTTAGTAAATCACAACATTATTATATTCAAAACTGATAAAAAAGAAGAAACGTTGCCTACCTTTATTATAAGTTCATTCTAGACAATTCAAAAGAAAAAGATATCCATATAAAACTGTACATGTAAAATACACAGTTCATGCCTAATTGTTAATGTTGATTTTTGCATTAACGCTCGGCATACAATTTAAATATAACAGCTAAGGCCATGTAATAATTTCCAAAAAGTTTATGGTTCATGAATTATTTCTAAATCACCATATAAATTTGAATATGTACAAGCAAAATAACTAAAATTTGCCGGTCCTCAGCTCCAAAATAGGAGAGTTTTGCAGCCAAAGGCGAATTTAGAGTCAGACTCAGTGAGACGAAATGTTCAAAAGGAACTAAAGTCAATAAGCGTGCAGTCAAATATTAAAAGTCAATAAGTTACAAAGAAGATTATCTGGAATTTTTTTGTGGGGAGAATGAGGGGACCGGGGGGGGGGGGGGGGGGGGGTATTCTGTTTTTATTTTATTTTATAGTGTTTTTCTATTATTTTTTTTAATTTCTTTGCCTAATATTATCTTTTCTTTATAGTTTAGCATCGAAATATTTTCCATTGTTCCCGCTTGACACTAAACACAAAACAATCAATCAATGTTTGGGTCCATTTTTTTCTATTTTTCGTTTTGTCCATTTATTATTTATTCTTTAAGCCCACACAGACCTTCATAACATATAAACAATGAAATTCATGAAATAATATTTAAGCCAGCAATTGAAAATATTATCTTGTCTGGAAATGCCATCACTGACCAAAGTCAGAGAACTTTTTGCAACACATTGTACTTCGGCAAGAAGACTTGCACCGGCTAATTAGAATGTCCAAACCGATGAAAACCCTCCAAAATAGACGATCTGATTAAAAATCAGACCTTACACTTTGCTCCGATATATATGCATGTCGGTCGTATAAGAAGGGGCAAAAATAAAGATCTGATTTTAATTAGATCGAAAACAAACACCTTTAACTTCTATAGTCTACTCACAAAATTTTAATTTAACCACAACTCTTTCAGTATCCCATGTCAATGTTAAGTTGTGAAGTTAGCCAAGGGCCAAGCACAAGAATATTTACGTTTTCTCCACTTGTTTTATTTGTGGGAATATTTTCAGTAGGTTAATTAATGAACTTTATTAATCAAACAAGTTAAATGAACTTAATTAATTTAAGAAATAATTCATGGAAGCCATAGATTTGTTGGACATTTACACATGGCCAGGGCCGTGATATTCGAATTTTATCCTGAGGTAAATAGTAACAGCCACCAATATGCACATCTTTGAGTCTGCGCTAAGTATAGATATATCGAGGATTTTATCACGGTGTTGTTTACAAAGCGAAAGAAGCACGTCATATTAGAATAATTAATAACTAACGATTTGTTTGGTTTTCGGGTTCGAAGTGTTTCATATTTTGTTATATTGTGACCTTTCATAGCTGACCATACGATATAGGGTTTGCTCATTGTTGAAGGTCTGCGTGCGGTGATCTATTCTTGCTTACAGTCATGTCATTTTGGACTATAGTGAGTAGGTGTCTCACTGGTAATCATCTCCTTATTTTTATATACATACACATTTATAATCAGACATTGGCCGGAATCTAACACTATGCCATTCTTTGTATCTGAATCTACCAGCTACATGTATAATCTTGATAATAGCCAAACTTATACAGTTGTAATAATTCGACTTAAGCTGTATTATCAATCATTTTTTTCCTGCTACTCATACTTAACATTTATTAATTTTTCCGCTTTCCTGTTTCCTGAAATTTCACGATACAAATCTTAGTTTCTGATTTAAAAAAAAAATCTGAATACCAAATGTGTCAGTTTCCGTAAACAATCACGTTTGTTTTATTTAAAATATAGTTACATGGGATAACATTTCCGGCTTCATATTTCGAAGGCTTCATGATAAAATTTTCATTTTTGCCTCAAATTGCTACTTTCTAGTCATGATATTTTGTCAGTTTCCTTATACGATCTTGTTTGTGATGTTTAAAATAGAGTTATATTGTAACAAAATATTTTGCTTCATTAAGAACATAAATACAAAATTTTGTAAGGTTTAAGCTTTTCCTTCATAGATTGAATACTACGAGCCAACCGGTCACCGATTTAATTAAAAGTTTTTCAAGGAATAAATATAAAAGCAAATCATTTTAACAAATAAACTGTTGACACAGAGATAAATGTAATTTTGATAGTATAATACAAATGTTGAAATTAAAATGGCAATACTTTAACATGTAAACTATGCCAAACATTTAAGTCAATGAACGAAGACTAAATGTGCAGTGCCAAATAATCTCCATGGAAATGAGATATCTTAATGATAATACAACTGCTTACCAAATATCACTGAAACAGGAATAGATTACATAAGCTTTTTATGGCAAAACCTTTTGGAATTTTGGGTCCTCAATGCTCTTTAACTTCGTTTTGTGTCAGGCCTTTTTAACTTTGTTTTGTTTCACGTTTCTCTATGTTAAATAAATTCAAATCATACACATTTGTACATGCATTCATGCACTCATACATAAACATATAGAGTTTGTTAACGTTAATTTCTTTTTTGTCAATTTTCGTTTTGTATCTTCTTCCGGATAGGTTTGATCATGTTGAATGTTTTATCATAGATTTACCTATGTATTTTTAACAAGATTGCCTTTGTTGTATTTTAGTTCTTTTTCTTTTTCCCTTGATTTTTTGTTAAGATTTATTTTCACAAAGCATCAAAATATCCTATAAAATCTTACGATTCCTGGTCAATGTCAGGGAAGTGTGTTAGATTAGTTGTGAGGACTTTTTGGTTTTTTTTTGGTTTTTCGTGTCCTGTCTGGTGTTGAGGACCATTTGTGTTTTCTTGGTTATTCGTGTTCTGTCTGATGTTGAAAACTAAATATGTTTTTTTTGGTTATTGGTGTCCTGTCTGGTGTTGAAGACCATATGTGTTTTTTTTTTGGTTAGTCGAGTCCTGTTTGATGTTGAAGACTATATCATATTTTTGCTTTAATCGTGTCCTGTCTGGAGTTAGGGACAATTTGTATTTTCTTGGTTATTCGTGTCCTGTCTGGTGTTGAAGACTAAATACGTTTTTTGGTTATTGGTGTCTGAAGACTTTATGTGTTTTTTTGGTTTTTTCGTGTTCTGACTGGTGTTGAAGACCATATGTGTTTTTTTTTGGTTATTTTGTCCTGTCTGGTGTTGAAGACTTTATGTTGTTTTTTAGTTATTCGTGTCCTGTCTGGTGTTGAAGACTT